ATTTATAGTAGAATTGTGACCCTGTTGAAATATATGAAATCGCACAAAATAACAAAGAGAAATTTTAGATAATATTGAAACCACTATGTCTTCATTAAATAAAGTACAAAGAGATGGCGAAGAAGGTTTTCAAAATAAGGAATATTACAAAAACCTTCATAAATTAATTCAAGTTACAAATTAAAATAAAATCATTTGTAAATACTGTATTAAAAAGTAGTACATTTTTTTAAATAGATTTTTACTTACCAAATTAAAAAAAAAAATATGAAAATTTATATCAGGATTTTGATTCTTGTATGACAAATTTACATTTGGCCATAACTATTGAAGTATTGAAAGATAATTCAAGCATCAAAAGTTAATTCTGAAGATATACAAGATAGATCAATATTACTAGAACAAAAAGGGCTTAAAATCAATTGATATTATCTTGCAAGAAATTTAAATTAAAAAAAGTCAAGTTGTCATAAATTCAATAAATCAGAACTAGCATCCTTAATTTTAAATCAATTGGAATATAATATGCTGTATATTAAATTTAACTACACTAATGTCAATATAATGAGCCTTTCGATTCGGTAGAAAAACTTTATTGAATATTGCTATTTTAGCTAGTAAAGATTTTTACAGTAATACTATATCTCAAAAACTGTCTAGAAATTATTATTTTATGCAATTAGATGTCCTGTCCATAGCCAGCCATAACTTATTTTTATTATTATATTTGATAATTCATAAAAACATCATGTTTAGCAATAAAATGAACAATAGATTTAGAAAAATAATCTAATATTTATCTATTATAACACTGTTAATTTTTAATATCTAACCCTTTGTTTTAGTACTATAATCTTTTTTTTATCTAAAGTCTAGTCTAAATTGGTTGTCAATATGCTAAGAGAAGTGATCGCCGATAACGTAAATCCCTTCGCTCTAATCCTATATCTTCAGAATCAAACTCATTGCCAATAAAATTTCTTAAAAAGATCAAAGTATTACTTTTGTAAAAAGCCTTCGCTAGTGCTTACGATGGAGCTTTAAACCAGTTAGAGTAATATTTATATAAAGTGCTTTTGCAAACGCTTTTCCTCCTTCAACACCAATATTATTATGGCTAAGGTTTAAATCAGTACTTCTGCTAGTGCTTTTGCTCCTTTTGAACCAATCATATTATTGCTAAGATCTAAGTTAGTTAGAGCAGTGTTTTTGCAGAGAGCATTTGCTATTGCTTTTGCTCCTTCATTATCAATATTATTCTTGCTGAGATATAGATGTAAGAGTAGTATTCACATAAAGTGCATCAGCTAATTCTTTTACTCCCTCTGATCCAAGTTTGTTATTCCAAAGGCGCAAAGAAGTTAGGGTGGAGTTTTTACAAAGCATATTTGCTAACGCTTTTTTTCCTTCATAGCCAATATTATTATGACTAAATTCTAGAGTAACTAATGTATTGTTTATACATAAAGCCTCTGCTAATATTTTTTCTAACTCAGAATTGATATTACTATCCTCAAGATACAATGAAGTTAGAACAGTATTCTTGCAAAAAGTTTCTGTTAACGCTTTTGCACCCTCAGAGCCGATTTCATTTTTATTAAGATTCAAAGAAGTTATAGTAGTGTTTTTACGAAAAGCCTCTGCTAATGCTTTTGCGCCTTCAAAGAGAATATTATTATTTTGAAGATCTAAAGAAGTTAGTGCAGTATTCTTGCAAAGTGCCTCTGCTATTGCTTTTTCTCCATTAATTCCAATATGATTATGACTAAGATTTAAAAAGATTAAAGTAGTGTTCTTGCAAAGTGCTTCTGCTAATGGCTTTCCTCCTTCAAATCCAATATTATTGTAACTAATATTTAATGAAATTAGAAAAGAGTTTTTGTGAAGTGCCTCTGCAAATGCTTTTTCTCCTTCAGCGCCAATATAATTATAACTAAGATTCAAAGAAGTTAGAGCACTGTTCTTACAAAGTGCCTCTGCTAATATTTTTTCTCCTTCAAAATTAATGTTGCTATTAGAAAGATTTAAAACAGTTACAGTAGCATTTATATAAAAAGCCTTTACTATGTCTTTGCTTCTTTCAATATTAAAGCCACATCCATCAAGATCTAAAGAAGTCAAAGTAGTGGTTTTATAAAGAACAGCTGCTAATGCTTTGCCTTCTTCAATATCACCATTAACATTTCCAAGTTTTAAGGAAACCAGAGATACGTTGTTGCAAAGAGCTTCCGCTAAAGCTTTTACATCTTTAGAACTAAGATAATTAAGGAAGTTAAAGTGGTGTTTTTGCTAATAGCCTTCGCTACTGATTTAAAATTTTCATATTTAAACATACGATATAATAAAATTTTAAAGAAGTAACAGTTGTATTTACACAGAGACTTTTTGGTATAATATTATAAATAATCTCTTTAATGTATAAATATTTGAGTTCCTTACTTGTTCATAGAAGCATTGCAGCTAAAGAACAATTAACAGTGCTTACGAGCTCATTATAGTAGTAATTATCAGGATTATATTCTTTTTTATAACAATAATTTTCATTAAACCATTTATCAATTCCATATTCCAAATAATAACTACTAGAAGTAGTATAAACTCGTGTACTCAAATAATGGTTTGGGATAATTTGGAAGGATAATCCTGAAAGAGATTAATAGAGCTTGCTCTTCGTAATTTAATAATGAGAGACACGTTCTTATAAGTTTACCACTACATGAATGGTCGATTGGTTTGCTCCATAATATTGGTACAATAATTCTACACCAATGACGGTTCACCAGAAGGCATGAAAATAGGCATTTATAATTAGTTCGTAAGTTATCAAATATTTTGAAGAGGCATTCGTTTGGTAATGCTATCATTTTTAGATCTTCGCTATTAGTAATCGAGATAAAAATTTGAAAAAATTGATGCATAATAGGATCACCTTTTTATGCAACATTCACGTGAATGCACCCAATCAAATTTCGGGATCAGGTTTATCATCATTGCAAAAGTGGTTACGTAACTGCCTAGATTTCTGAAATGGGTCACAATACAACACTCTACTATAATACTACAAAAACTTATCCAAAATTCTGCATTAAAACTATCAAACCTATACCGTAATACAGTAATGGTTTTAGACATTGAAAGAGACGCAGAAAGACCTGGTCTGAGAAACTATGGTTGCAGTAGTAGATTAGAGATCTAGATTATATCGATATCACGGACTTCAATACAGTAGATGAATGTGTGCCAGGTTATTGGCATAGTAATCAACCACAATAATCTGCATCAATCAATTTTATATCATTACTTATCATATGTATGTACGTATGTCTTTGTTTTTTGAATGAAAATTTTCACCGTGAATTTCACTAACTGTTATGTGTGTATACTGTAGGTTCTCTATTTTTTTAATTCGTAAATTACAGATATTGTATAGTAGAAGTATGTAATACTTTATATGTAAATAGGTATATAAAGATCTTATTTAACTTTTCAAAGTGGATCCTTTTGATGGTGTAAAGAATAAAATTTTACTTTTTTTTTGTTATCTTATATTTTATCTTATTTATTTCTATATAAACATTATTATAGTTTTATCCTTTTATTTTTATGTATATAGTTTTCCCCAATTCCATTTTCATAGCAGTAACCGACTTTTCTTTGTTATGTGTAAATATTTTTAATTAAGTATACTAAAAAGGTAGTTGATAGTGGCTTAGTGGCTTATTTATGCAAAAGCGTATACGCTCAAAAGCAGAGTGTATACATCCTTACACAAATTTGTTGATCCCTGCACCATGAGTGTGTACATCCAAAACAAGAGCGTAAACGCTCTAGACAAGAGCGTACACGCTCAAGTACAGAGCGTATATATCCAAAACAAGAGCGTAAATGCTCATACTGAATAAAATGTATATAAGTGCCTGGAATTTAATAAAGAACGATATATAAAATGTCCATCTTCAATTCCTAATAAACAATAAAGTGTATATACTTAACTGAATTTCCATTGAGACTTTATCTTTTGAATTCGACTTGTAACTTTAATAACCCTTTCGAGACTCAATTCGACAGACTGAATTGACTAGTAACTTCGATTTGTCTTATTAAGACTCGGATTCTGTAACGGTTGTGGAATCAGATATTGCCCTTCACATTAGTGACTTGCGGGAATCGTGGTAGAGAATGATACTTACGATTAGTTATCCAACCTCTTGATCATCATCCGCTTACATCTATAAAGAGGTACCCCTTTATTATCACCACAGTCCTTGGATTATCCTTTGTTATCACCCTTAATAGCATCACCTGTCATTGCTTCGCCCATTATCATCGTTCGTTAATATCAAAGTATTACTCTAAAGTACCATATCACCTATTAGATCCTTAACACATATAAAAGTTCCATTTCACTTATCCAAAGTTAGCCTTATTATCCGTACACCGTTAAAGTTAGATTGGCATTATTTCTGTATTATTTTATTAGCTCTCCCATTCAATGGTTATAATGGTCAGGTCACTATTATTTTCTGTGTTAAAATATAGTTTTAAGTAAGTTATATGAAAAAGTTTTTGTTTAAGAATTTTTTTTTATAACTGTAAAATAAAAAAATTTTAAAAATATTATATGAATAGCTTGAATAACTAAAATACTATAGACTAAAAGTTATCAAAAGACGAAATATAAATATCTTTGAGAAATGATGCCTTAATTTATTAAAATTTGTATCGCATCTTATCGTGAATAAGCACTACACCCTTTACCCCAATTTTTAAATATCAGATTAGCGGAAATCGCAATGAAGTCTTTATCCAAATTTTGCTAATCTGATATTTAAAAAAGTGGGGTAGAGGGTGTAGTGCTTATTCACGATAGGATATTGTATTGTTTTCATAATTACTTTGGGTGTTCTCAAGCATCCACCCAGATGAAATCTCAAGTGATCACAATAGTGCACAAGCATTATTTTGTAATGTTAGCTATTCTCATAACATTTTAAATAAAAGTCTCAAGTACTCCTATTCCTGTGATTTACTAATAATTATAGTGATGCACAATTACTACGATAGGTCAAAGTAAAGATCTTAATCAATGCTTGAGTAAATTCAAAATGATTTATAAAATAAAATATAATATAACGTTATTACATTAATGTGTTGATAGATAAAAGACATGAAAACGCTTGAACA